TTCAACGTCCCTGCCATGAAATCAGGCTTTTAGTGGAACCTTGGTAAACCTTGCCCACCAAATCTGCAAATGCTATTCAAAAGTCTTGCGACGAAATCTGACTGTAAGCGGAACCTTGCCTGTTGAACATTAAAGCTGCTGTTATTCTAGACAAAAAAGCCAATCAGCCAGGAACCAACAACTTAGTATGACACACCGGAAGATTTGAGCGGAAACTTGACTTTTAAAAACTAAAGCTGCTGCTGTTGTAAAAAAGAGGCCAGAAAGCCAGGAAGAGACAGGAAACGTGATTTAATATAATGCATTACAGAATTGACAAAATGTATGAAATAGAATGAAATTAATCCAATAATCAGAAAAGAAAAAACCATCAAACATTTAATCACTCACGTTAGTTCAGAATAATGTAGTACATACCTGAAAGCATTAGCCGTGTCTGCTCATAGGGGGAGGCGCGTCCCCCTCCCCCCAACCCGCCCCTGTGCCACAAGATTCCTGCCACGAATTTCGACTCTGAGCGGAAACTGCCTGTTAGCCAGGAGGCCAGGCAGGAGGAAAGAGATTAGTATACAGGCCGACGCCCAGCCCAAAGAGGGTTCGTGGTAGAATTATTTTTTTTGATTAAGTAATTAGTTTTTTATTGATCCCCTTGAATAGTTTTTTATTGATGCGATAAATAGTTTTTTTTTGATACTTCACCCGCTAGTGGGTACCCAAATAAATGATGAACATATAATTACCTGCTATATAAACCTTATAACCACCTACAGTATGTTGTTGTCGCATGTTGGTTGTCTTTTGGCATGCAAGGACGAGAATTGTTGTCCGGGACCGTGTTTTACCGTATGAACTTGGTCTATTTCACAATACTCAAATATATCAATAGCGTTCAGGCTTTTGGACGTGAAAACCCGTTCAGACTTTCACAAGGAGGTGAATTCACAAGATGGACGTAGATCACACACACATTGTTTAGCATCCTGGACTGGAATTGGTATCTATCCAGGGTAGCAGGTACATATCTGACACCACCACCCTGGCTTGAGATGTGATCTTCGGCCAGTGGGATCCTCCTTGATGCCTTGAAGCACTTCCAATGTAGAACATGCGCATGTCGACAACCAGGACCACCAGCAAAACAAGAACAAAACTTGTAAGACGAAGGAATTCGAGGAGTAGGCTGTTCCGGCCACCTCATCAGGCCCAACAAGGTCAACTCCACCAGGCCAATAAGGGCCTGACCGCTCCCACTCGATGACAAACCCATTCAAAACCTCGGACCAAGGGCCCCGCATCCCGAAGCACCACACGAATTCACACACATCGGACCTTGGCCCCGCGCCCCCAAACAAAGCACCCCAACGGGGTCTCCACTGCACTCCCCCCCCCCCCCGCGCTCTCTCTCTGTCTGTTTCTCTTACTCTCTCACTCTGAAATTGGTCTCTCCCAAGGCACCGGTCAGCTTCCCCACGGACGCCACACCATTGGAACCGCCAATGATGATCGTCGAATGCTCCACACCTCCGACGGTCGTCGGGTGTTTTGGCGTGTCGGTCTGGGTTTGGAGTCTCTGCCGCTGTTTGAACGATCTCACATGTGGCAAATGTATCTGGGCCAATTTTGTGCAAATTGATTCAGTTGGCATATGTACTTGGATTTGCTTAAGAGAGCTTGCTCTTGCCTTGTATCTGATCTGAACCTTCATCACTGCAGTGTGGGGAGCTCCAAAGAAAACAACATGCTACAAATGTCGTTGAGAGTAAGCTACATTGACCCTCACCTTCAATCAGGGGCCCAGGAGCAAAACTTGTGCGGGATTTAAGGGCTAGTGGACATTAACAGCAACTACACAACATATATATATACAGTGAATGTATATCATGGATGCACCCATTGTTCTAGTGGACCATAGGCCATAGGTTCCATATTCATTCTGGGAAGGGTGGGCGACTGAATACGGCAGGAAACTTGAAACGGCAAGCTTGCTGAGCCATCTCTCCCATCTTGAACCCCACCATACATACTCATTTGGGATCTGTATGGGTACCAACACCCTCCAGCACATCACCAATTGAGACCTCTCAGAGGCAAAACAACCCTCTTTAATTCTTTAGGAGACCTGTTGGAGGGTGCTGGTATGGGGGATATGTCATATGAATTCATATTGATCTTTCCTTGACGGTGCATCATGGCATCGGAATTTCAAGGCGGGAACTGGAGGGACTGGCACTGTCAGGACAACTGCCACGGGGTAAATGTGAACCACACACATCTCTTGGGTTAAACCGTAACCCTATCCATGATTTCAGTCAAGTCCCTGACAATTCAGGGTGATTTGTTTTTGAGTGGCCGGAGGCACAAACATGTGGATTATGCATGTATCACCTAAAACCCCTTTTCGAGGTGTCCTCTGGCATGCACTCCAACGCTTGATTTCGCCTACAGCCGTGACTGAGCAGTCGTTGAGGATGGTCTTCAAGAGAAGGCCTTGGACGGACGAGGTCCGTCGTGCTACCCAGGTCTGCACGACTAGCGACGGCCTGTGGCCGGTGGCCTGTGGAACTACGAACTCCAGAAACCAGAAGATCCAAGCAATATGGTGAAGTATTACCAAGTACTACCGAAACATATGGTGTACTTACTCCATATGAGCTGAAACA